TAAAATTTGCATTCTAAAGCAGTGTTTACCACCAAATTAGTTCTGGACAAGACCACTTCCTACCTCTTTTCATTCAAATGCATATTTGCCTCCTAGCAACGCTAAACAAATGGAAAAAGTGACTTCCAGAAATCTTCTGAAGTCAGCTGTAAAATTGTATGAAGCTTTAAATAGTCAGTTCTTTCTAGATTTTTGATGCTTAGAACATACGTGATGGATGTCAGTATTTTAGCTTCATAGAAAGAAAGGTTAGTAAATGTCCCTGCATGCAAATTGAGGGCAATTGTTGGTTTTAACTCCCAAGTAAGGACAGTGTGAAGTAAAAACATCTACAAAAAATATGTAAATACAAATAAAAATTAAATACTCTTAGTGTATAGAACAATTTAGCATTTTAACACATGTAGATATTATGAGCACAAAATATGCTTATCTCAGTTAAATCCAATCAAAGGTTTGCTATCAACTTTTCAACAATAGCAGAAAAAAGAAATCCCTTGATTTATTAATGACAATAAAAGCTATAATTCAGATGCTTTCCTAACTTAAGTTAATTCTACATCCACTAAAACAATTTTTTCTTACAAGGATTCAACAGTTGAACTAATACAGCTTCCAATGCAGCAGTGCTAGGAGTAAGCTACACGTATCTACTTCAATTAAAAAAACTTCTCAGCCTACAGACTCTGAGTAGCTTATTGCCAGGGCTAGTAAACTCATAGCAGGGCTTCTTAGGAAGACAGACGATAAGGTTTAAAAAAACAAACAAACAAACTCCCAAACACTACATTTTTATGTGGAACTACAACTCTTACTAGCTTGCTACAGTTAGGATGAAAGAAAAGACCCAAGAACTGTGAACACAGCCCCATGCCTAACTCAGGGCACTCTGCGCTAAGGTAAATTGCTAGAACTACAACAGCATATGCAGTACCTGCAGTATTAACACGGCACGATCACCTCAAATAAAACAGCACCCAAGCATAAAAGGCACTGGAGATGGCTACTAGTTCCTGAGGGGGGTAGGGTGGGTTGTTTTCTTCGCTTAGTTGCTGAATAGCCTGTTCTCTGCTTAAGGGGCTGTTCTGTTGCCAGTCCTGAGCTTAATAACTTTTAGCTTTGAGCCACTTTCTTCAATGGTAGTAGGGCAACAGCTGTTAGATAGAAACAAGACTCTGCAATCAGTTCAGAAATTAATTACACTTTTTTTCAAATATTTTCTTCAACCTCCTAGTTCTTCTCTTGCTACTCTGGAATTAAAATGATTAATGCAGACTGTAAGGCTCAAAAGCAGGATTTTTGTTTTGGTTTGGTTTTTTTTCAAAAGTATCTGTGAAGTATTTTTCGCCTGTAGCTTGTTTTCTTAAAAGCATCACTTGAGTTCACCCCCTTGTACTACTGCACTTTTAGGGCTTTTCTTTCCTTTAGGGATTAAAAACGCAGTGGAATTAACAGTGGGAAGTGTTATCACCTACAACCGGAAAACAAAATGGGCTTTTTTATTCTTAGCTTTTACACAAGTTTTTTTGTAGCCATAAAATCATCTAGCCACACTTCTTAATTATAATATTTAACAACAAATCTGGTAAAGTATCGAAGTATAGACATTCTAAATTATTTCCCTAATAACTTATGTTCTAACATTAAATCTTCCCTTTGATACACTTCTCAAAATATTGCTAACAAGCTCCCACTGCCTCAGTCAGCAAAAACATGAGGATTTAACAACTGCCTACGTGCTCTGCTGCTTGGACTTACCTCTCACACCTGTTGAAGGCCTTGGTTCCCTCACAGATCTGTAAAGAATGAGCTGAGGAAATCAGGTGTTGAGGGGGAGGGTTTAGTTTCTTTCTGCCTTTATTTTTACCCCTGAAGCCAACTTCTGACTTAAAACAAATTCACAGTGCTGAAACCCTAATTTTGCTTAGCACACCTCATGGCTGTAGTTACCTTACCACCTCCCTCTCTGTAAAACATGCTTTACAGGCAGAACAACTTTTCTAATTCTGCAGCGCCTGAAGAATTAATGGCATGGCCTGATGTTTTGCACAGGTCTGTGTATAAGCTATTTCTCTTTGACGGACTTAAAACAGGAACTCATAGCAAATGAAGTTGAGTAGGCTGTCAACATTTGATGAGTTAATGAAAATATTGTAGAAATAGCTTCACTGCGATAGCTGTTTCAGTAAAAACCATGCCATATTGTTGGAAACTGTTCAGTCTTCAGTTCCAGAAATTTATCTTGAAAAAGAAATGAGTGACTCTTGTAAGGGAGTTTATTATACTTAATGCAGAAGAGTAAACCCGTAAGTAAAACTCAGCAAATGCCCTTTGTATTTAAAAGCTACAGATACTTTAGCAACAGTTATGAGAAACACATAGCAAGGATTTAATTTCATATATTAACATTCTTTCTTCTGCGTATTGTAATACACCCTTCTGTCCTACTGTGATGGTACAGAAGGATTGCAAAGACAACAGAAAGCCTGCTAAGGCTTTGCCTTTGTGTTTTATGATCCTTATGCTACTTCTTTATGATGTCAAGTGTAGGGAAGCATCTGAGAAGAGCTGAAGCTTATTTTTGCATTTGCAAGGATTTGCACTGAATGAAGAATAAGATTTATTTTGGACGCTAAGCTAAACTGAATCAATAGATGCAAAGCTTAAAGCAGCTTTTACATTAGCAAAAGTGAATCTAAATGTTTTTATGAGCGTGCTGATTTTTATAGCAAGCTTATTTTATTATAATTATAAAGAAAAACATTCTGCAGCACTCTAATTGTATGTTATTTAAATCCTACATTAGTAGGAATAGTCAAGGGAATGTAATAGGGTTCAGGGAATAAGCTGTTCCAAGCAAACATTTCTAATGCATCAGTGTTGCAGTTTAGTTGTCTTCTATGTCCTTAACATTTCTTAATCTTCTATTTATTTTTTTCCTAAAGAAAATCTGTCATGATTTAGTTTAACTTAGTTTATGGTAAACAATTGTATGTTACTGTTGATTAGTGCTTTCTCATGAAAAAAAATAATTCTATCTGTTTGAGAACTTACTAGTCTTGACGCAGTCAAAAGAAGTGATTCTCCCTATTTCGCACTGATTTGGCCTCATCTTAAACACTGTGCAGTTCTTGCACAGGATATTAAGGTCCTTGATTGTATCCAGAGGTGGCAAGCTGGCAACAGGACTGGAAGGCATGTCCCATGTGGTGAGGCTGAGGACACTCAAGTTACCCACTCAGGTTACCCATTCTGGAACAGAAGATGACCTCATTGTTCTCTGCAACTCCATGAGGAGGGGAAGTGGAGAGGAAGGTATTGGGATCCTCTCCCTAGGAATATAGAATAGGGGAAGGGCACAAAGCTGTGCCAACAGAGGCTCAAACTGCTTTAACTTTTGGTTAGCATTGAAGGGACCACGACTTCGGACTAGATAATCTTTGAATACCCCTTCTATGAAGATGGTTCTCAGCTGTGTTCTAGGTTGTTTCATTTCAGTGGTAACAATGAAGTCCTCTTGCAGCAAGACCTGAGAAAGTATGATGGTTCTGTGTGGGTTCTGAGTCAGTCAGCTGGTTTTAAGTCTGTCAGTTAGATCGCTCTGAATCGGATGGATGACTGTGTCAGACAGCATTTAGGGAGTTTATAGGACTTCTGTATGAGTAAGAGGATTCTATGGGTCAGTTAGTCTAAGTGAGCCCACTCAAAGTCTGTTGGATAGATTCCTGTCAGTCAGTTGGTTCTGAGTTAATTAGTTGGATCTGAAGTGGTTGAGTGGTCCCTTGCAGTTTGTCAGACAGTGGGGTCAAGGTGAGATGGTCTGTTACAAGTTAAATGGATGGTGTTGGATACAGTTTTAAACTGGACTGATGGTTGTCCAGCAGCTCTTAGTGAATTGAATGGAAGGTTCTGTATGAGCTCGGCAGCTCTAAGTGAGTCAGTCAGTTGCTTCTAGATCAGGATGTCAGTTCTGAGTGGATTGGATGATTTTAAATCAGACAGTTCTAAATCAGTCAATCATTCAGTTCTAGGTTGGTCAGTTCAAAATACCTCCAACAGATGGTTCCAAGTCCGTCCCTGGGAGAGTTCTATATCGGTTAGTTCTAAATGAGTTGGTTGGTTGGTTCTATGTTGGACTGTTCTAAATATGTCATGAGATTGATTCTAAGTTGGTTCTGTGTCAGCCAGTTGTGAGGGTCCTACAGCCTCTTCTAAATTGGTTGATTTTAAACGAGTCACTGGGATTACTACAGGTGAGTAGGTCACACTGTTCTAGATGAGGCATTTGTTTGCTTTCTGAAAATAGCTATCAAAAGGATTTCCATTTTGGTGTGTATTTAGACTTCTTACTGTTGTGACTCCATTGCTGTCTATTTAACATAAACAGGCTGTCACAGCTTTTATCACACTGTCTAACTGGTTTGGAGCGAATCAAATGTGATAACAGCACCATTATTCATCTTTATCTGCACTACGCAGCTTTTCATAAAGCTGTGGTCTGTGTACCTTTTTAGGAACAGGGGGATAAATTTGACTCACAGAGTTCCCAGACTGCTGATTGCTTTGCTTCTTAGTGTTGCTAAGCATACTAAGAAGAATACTAGCAAATATCCTAGTCTAATAAGGACACCTAGTCATTTAAGGAGCAAATACACCACAGAGGCAGTAGTTGTGGGTGTGGCTTTTTTCCCACAGCGGTCTGCGTGTGTTTTGCAAAGCTCTGCTGATCAGCTGAGCTCTGTGTCGAAGTCACTTTTCCCTTCAGCACCAGCTAGCTCCATCACGTTCATTTCTTTCACGCCAACGTTCCCGCGGCCCTGCTATCAACCATGGGAAACCAAACCACCCGAGGCACCGCACCGGCGGTCCGGCGGCGGCCTTCCCGGCGTGCTCCGCGCCCCAGCTGCGTGCCGTGCTTCGCAGTCCTCCCGCACGCCTCCAGCCCGTCTCCTTCCGGGTCCGGCTCCCGCGTCACGTGACGCGTGTGTTGACTTCCCGGTCGCGTTCCGGGACTTCCCCGCGGCGGCGGAGGCCGGCAGCGCGACCGGGTCGGACCGGCGAGCGGAAGCGATGGGAGCACGAGGGAGCCCGAGCGGAGAGCGCGACGGCCGGCGCTGCCCCTACGCCGAGCTGAGCGGCCGCTGCTGACCGCCTGGCTGGCTCGAGCGGGGCCCAGAGAGGTTGGTGCTGGGGACGAAAGGCTCCTCGGGGGGGGATCATAGAATCGTAGAATGGCCTGGGCTGAAAAGGACAACAACGATCATCTAGTTTCAACCCCCCCTGCTGTGTGCAGGGTCGCCAACCGCCAGACCGGGCTGCCCGGAGCCACAAGGAGGTGGGAGTCGGCCTCGGGTGGGAGTTAAAGCTTGTCAGACAGCTGCCTGTAAAGCCGGCTGGGTTGTTGTGACGGTGGTTGTGTGGGGCCCTGGGCAGCATCGTCTGATGGGACGTCCCTGCACACGGGATGGGGGTTGGGGCTGGATCGGCTCTAAGGTCCCTTCCATCCCGGCTGTTCTGTGGCTTTGCTGGTGAACAGGGAGCACAGGAGATGAGCAAACTGATTCCTGGTGCGAGATGTGAAAACAGAAACGTGGCAAAATGCAGGAGCAGATGGGAATGCAGGCTTTGTGGGTTGTGTTGAGCCGGAAGAAGTAGAAATGAGTACTGGTGTAGCAGCACGTAACATTGTCAACTGTGGAGAAATTACAGCTTAAATTCCTCATGCTTCACCTGGCAGGGAAATTAATCTCCTTAAACAAGTCACTTTTCCACACCAGGCCTGAAGGGGCCATGACCAAGTGCTTGATGTAGAGCTCAGCAGCGCTGCCTGGGGCAGGGGCTTGGATCTTTGAGGTCCTTGAGGTCCCTTCCAGCACAAGCCATTCTTTTCTGTGATTCCAGTAACTTGTGGGTGTGGTGAGCAGGTCGGGCTGAAAGCTGTCCAGTGAGCAGAGCTTTGGCATTTCTTGGAGAATACTTTTGTTTCCTTTTCTGTCTCACACTGTGTGTGTGTGTGTGTGCAATGACATCAGCATACAGGGAGCCAACTCTGGAAAAGGCGGAGAGAGGACAGAACATTGTTATAGTAGTCTTCTCTGGGCTTTGGAGGTCAGCTGCTCCTCTGAGACAGAGGTTTCTGTGGACTAAGAGAAACATTTAATTTCCTGGATACTGGTGTGCTACTACTGCTAGCAATACCAGTTATTGGTATGTGTATGCTACAATTTTTTTCACAGAAATCAGAACTGGTACTACTTATAGCTCCTGAGATGATGTCCAATAGTTTTGTCTTTCATATATTGTGATGACCAGATGAGGCTGCACAGAGCAGAGTGGGATGACTGCTTCCATCATCTGAAGGCAGTGCTAGGCCATTAATAGTTGCATGGCATTCTTACTATAGAAAATGGTAGATGATCATAAGATCTGACAACGCATTCATGGAGGAAAAAATGATGTTTGGAAAGTATAAGTACTTGAATGTTGAAAGTCATCCACTTACAACTTCCTGTTAGCAAACTGCATTCAAATGATCACGGTTGTTCAAGGTGATGAAATGTAAACCTGAAAATGTTAGTGAATTACAGGATGACCAGGGGCTGTCAGTGCAATTCAGTTGAGCTCTCTTTTTATTGCTGCAACAGGTAGGGTGTTCCTGCTTTAGTTAATGCAGTTACACAAGCCTTTCACAATATCTTATATCTGAATGTGTGAACTTACCGAGTATGAATTTATCTGACAGTTCAATTGAGCAGGAAGAAACTTATGATTGGGTGCTAGTGCTTACTGCATGTTTTACAAATGATAACATTTTTGGAAAGCGAAAGCAAATCGACCAAACAACAACCAAAAAAAAAAAAAAGCAACCTTCTTAGTTTACCAAAATGTTGGTGTGTTTGTTCTCTATAAACACTTTTAAATGGAAAGGGGGGAACACCAAAAAATGTCTATTAAAATAATAGATAATGTTAGTGTGAGAACACATAATTCTCTCAGTAAACTTTGAATATACTATGTTTGATGCTAGAAAAGTTCAATAGCCAAAACACATATTGCCCTTTCTGGTATTCCTCTGGCACTGTTGCTCCTGATGAATTTCAACATTAATCTGATTGTTTAATAGACAGGATTATATGATGGAATGGCCTCAAATGTCAGAGGACAATATTAGAATACGACTCCATTTTCTTTTCCTTTTTTGATAGTTGACAGGGAAAATGGGGAGGGACAGTGTTCATGAAGAGGTAAACTGAATACATTATAGTGAGGGTGCATAGCATTTGTAAATTAGCAGTGAAGATAATGCCAGATGAAAACTATATTGCATCCAGGTGTGGAGTCTTCAGTACAGGAGAGGTGGGGACGTGTTGGAGTGCGCCCAGAGTAGGGCCACAGAAGTGATCCACAGGATGGAACACCTCCCCTACGAGGACAGGCTGAGAGAGCTGGGGCTGTTCAGTCTGGAGAAGAGAAGGCTGTGAGGTGACCTGAGAGTGGCCTTGCGGAGTCTAAAGGGGAGCTGTAAGAAAGAAGGGACTGACTCTTTAGCAGAATCTGTGGTGATGGAACAAGAGAAGTGGCTTCAAGCTCAAAGAAGGTAGATTTAGGTTAGATATAAGGAAAAATCTTTTTTCAGTGAGAGTGATGAGACACTGAAAAAGGTTGCCCAGTGATGTGGTTGATGCCCTATTCGTGGAGACTTTCAAGGTGAGGTTGGATCAGGACCTGGGCAACCTGATGAAGCTGTGCATGTCCTTGTTCACTGCAGGGGAGTTGGGCTAGATGGCCTTCTGAGGTCCCTTCCAACTCTATGGATTCTAAGATTCAGAGAAAGTAAAAATTATGGAGTGCTGTTGTTATAAAATAGGCTTTTTGTTATTTCTCTTGCTCTTGTGAGAATAGATGACTGTTTATTGTGGAAAGCTTGAGATTTGAAAAAATTTCCTATTGTTCCTGAAGAAATCTGGGTGTATGCTCAAGCTCAGGCAGATTTCATGACAGGTGAACTACAGTGATCTGGTTTGAGAGTGTACAGACAATAACTGCATTTCCTGAAGGCAGCAAAGTGAAAGTAATTGGAAGGTCTCACTTAGCTGACGTGGTTGTGAAGAGCATTGTGTGTGCTAAAACTGCAGAGCTGAGTCCTTGTCAGCATGAATTCTCAGGGAGGGCTGTGGACTTTGTCCATATGGGATGATAAGCAGTGGCCAATGCTAGCACCTACTGGAATGTGTGTTTGCGAAGGTTTTGTTTTAAAATTGGAGCAAGTGTCTGTTTAAAGAAAAAAAACCCTGTTTCTGTAGAGCACACTGTTCAGGACTGGAATTGCAGAGAACTTGAGCTCTCAGATGTGAAATGATGGGTGCCTGATCTGATGGGTTGGCAACTCTGCCTATGGAAAAGAGTTGGAACTGAGTAAAATTTAAAGTCTGTTCTGACCCAAGCCATTCTGTGATTTAAACTGCATTCATTTCCTCCTCTGTTATGGGGAGAAAACTAATCCACTTAATTAGTACTGTGAATACTCCATACTTATATTTCCATTTATTTTAGCCCTATTTAATGTGGTTGTCCTTACACTTCTTATTTTTGGTGTTTTTATTCTGATCTATACTTAATGTATTTTCATAGTTTACATTCTGCAAGATCAAATTCATATTTGTTAATTTTCATTATTGAGCCTTCAGTATTTTGTCTTCCTTCCCTGTTATGATACGTGAGCATTAGTAGACTGTTACTAGATTGTGAATGTCCAGTCTTGACAACTGCTGTTTCAGGAAGCCTTGGAAGTAGTTTCATAGGGTTTTCTTCCGCAAACAAAACTTCAGAAGATGGTTAAAACATTTCATTTTGTCCTTACATGCCATTTTCCTGCAGAATGTTGATCACTTCGGGTGATCCCTTGTGGAGCCAGAAGTTGGACTTGATGATCCCCATGCGTCCCCTCCAGCTCAGAGTGTTCTATTATTCTATGCTCAGGGGAATGGAAGTCTCGCATGTTGAAGCGTATCACATGCTGTGTGGAGTTTTGGTGCTAACTGCAGGAATTCTGCAGTTCTTTTGCTGGAAATCCTTTCAAAAGGAAAAACATTACTAACCTTCCTCAAATTAAGGTGGGGGCTGCAACACACTCATTCAGGGTTTCTGTGGATCAAATACATCTGTTGAATTCAATGTTTTATTTTTATGCCTGTGTGCACAAACACAGCCTTCTATATGAGGCAGAGTAAACCAGTACAAAGTCTGTACCGTACAGTATGGACTATACAGTACAAAGTCTGGAGGCTGTTCCTAATGCCATTGTGAAGCCAAACTCCTCAAGTCTGAGAGGTAAACAGAGTAGATCGGTTCAGACTCCCAGTGGCCTAGGAAAAGAAATCAGGAAAATACCATCTTTTTGTTTTCTTTACTTTGACACTTGGAGATAGCTTGGAAACCACTCTGTTGTCCTTCAAAGCACAAAATGGGAATCTGTTTGAAACTAGGAAGAATTTCATGTAATTCTGCTTTTACTGTCTCTCCTCCAGTTCCAAGTATGAGGTTGGGGTTTCGAACTACAGAGTCCATGCAGTGCTCTGCTTGCTATTAGAGCCTTTGCATCCTGAAATTCAGGAAAGGTTCTTATTCTCAAAATACTTAACATGTTAAATCCTAAAGCTGTAATTGGGATTGTAAAGTTCCTTTAAAAATAGGCTGAGATGGACATCAATTCTAATCATAAACGTTAATAGCTTGATATTGCATATTACTTTAAATATTTTAATGGAAAATCTCCTGTGTTTACTGTTTACCATAGTGCAGGTTATCTCATGCACTGGAATTCCAGACAGCTCCAAATTCACTCAAGTGCTTTTTTGGTGACAGCTTTGTGGCATTTGCAGCAGTGCATACACGTGTAGCTTTGGGCTGGAGAAACCAAACAGAATAGAAGGCAGAGGTCTGTGCTGCCACTCAGCAAGCTGCTCTACCCTGCCAGATTCAGGGAGCCCTCACTTGTGGAATAACCTAATTATGTGTAGTGTATCAGGAGGCTCTTCTGTTACCCTCCTGCAGTTCATATTTTGTAAATAATTTAGTATAATAGTAGGGAAAACAAATTTTGATTCCTATATTTAAACAACAGAATGAAAGGCTAAGGCGAGGAATTTCCTACAGATATAATCCCATTTGTATTAAGTTTTGTTTTTAAGCATTGCTCTCCATTGATTAAACACTAAGAACTTTTTCTCCAGTTTTCTTCTTTCCCTGACAGCACAGCAAAGTTGTGTGAAAAGTTTCACAGTGACCTTCACAGAACTACTCATCTTACTGTTTAATAGCCAGGTTTATTCTTGTATGAGCTTGTATCTTGTTGTCCTTTGAATACAAGCTTAGCAGGCACAGGAGAAATAACTTTGAGATTTGTTTTGTGTGAGGTTTTTGTTTTTTCAGAAATGCACTTTTCTTAGTTTATTATTAGGTTTTGATAATTTATTTAGATATGTTTGGCAGTGCTGTTATAAATTTCTACTGCAACTTCTGTGTGCGCGTCTTCACGTTGTTGGCATGACTGCAGTGCTGATTTCATTGTATGCCTTGTAAAGCTGGAACAACTGCACTTTTTTGTTACTGTAGCAGTAAAATATGAAGTGTGGATATTATGGATACTTTCACTTTTCATTGTTTCTGTTGAGGTACATACAGTGCGGATATCTGGTGAGTTTCCATTCTTGACTGCAGCTGTTGAGCTTCCATTCCAGAGAAGTGTGAATTGATAACTTCAATAACCATTGAAGTTAATTGTCTAAAAATCCCACTGTTCCTTCGGAATATTCAACTTTGTGCATCCAAAATTTACGTGTTGTCTGATCTCTTCTTTAAGAGGATGGAAGAAATTGTCTTTCCCAGTCTCACAGGAGAACTTATGTATGGTGGAGGCTTTGTTTTCTCTTAGCATGCCATAAGAACAGTCAAAAATGTCTGTACCAGCTCTTTCTGAAATGTTAAACTTATGCACTGATGTAGAAAAGCATGTGTTTTAAACCCCTTTGAATGTTGTGGGGGTTGATTATCTGTACTGTGAATTGCTTCCAGTGCCGATTTAGAGAGGAATATCAGAAGTCTAGAGTTCAGCAATACTGTAAGCTAAATGAGATCTCTTAAGTGAAGATCAGTGTAACTAGTTCTTCTGCTGGGCGTTGCTTAAAGTCATGCCTGGATTTATAAAATATGTGTATATGCTGAGTTTGACTTACTTGGAAGGCTTGCTCTTTTAGAATTAACCAGCTGGTTTCATTATGTTCATTTCTTTCATTCCATCATTTATGTTAGCTTGCTATCTAATCAGGAACCAAAGGATTTGTTTGGGAGAGCGTAGGAAGTTACTTTTGATACTGTTAACATCTTTAATTTTCTTAAGGGTTGGGGGAAATGTGCTCAAATACTGTACAGTGTTCATTAATATGGCACGTAAAGGCAAGGAATCTTGGTAACTAAATCAGTAATGAGTGTATTGAGTGGCCTTGAACTTGTTTATGATAATGAATACCATTAAGGGAAATGCTGTTGGGACTTCTGCCTTAGAGCCTGGAGTCTAAGGTAGCATAGTTTGTGTTGTAACGAAAGCTCAGTGTAATGATTATTTACAATTTGTCATCCAGGTGGGTTGGGCTAGCGATGGTCTGATTGCCAGGTTGTTTTTTTTTACACACATGTTGAGATAAATCATGCCACTAAGTATGCTTTAATTCACATATTAAAGTTGTATTTTAAAACTTGGGAAATGTAAAATACTTGCTTTCAAGAACAGATCAAATTTGATACCTTCCTTTTGGTTCCCAAGAAGCATAATTGATTTCCTACAATTGTAACCTTATACTATAGTTCAGTACTGTCTTGCAAAAACTAGTTAGACATTGCTTTGAAGTACATGTATTTGTTAACAAAGCTTATTGGATGATGTTACATTAATAAAAATGAGGAGCTCATAAATCTGATGAATGCTCAAAATATTTGTATAATGTAAGAGTGAAAGATTTTTTTCTAAAATTATTTTAAGATATAAAATGGGTCTCAAGATTTTCTGTAGGATTAAGGTGAGATTCAAGATGAATTTGTCTTTGTGAAAATTTTACTCACATCTGTCTTTTTAAACAGGTGTCATGGAGGAGTTGGTGGAGGATGACATCTGTATTTTGAACCATGAAAAAGCAGACAACAGTCATAAGAGAGATGGGGAGATTCCTGTTTCAGCTTACAGTGGAGATGAGTCTGTTGCTTCACACTTTGCACTTGTCACTGCGTACGAAGATATCAAGAAGCGGCTAAAGGAGACAGAGAAGGAGAATTCCTTTCTAAAGAAAAGAGTGAGAATTTTAGAAGAGAAGGTAAGAAAAAAGGCAGTTACTGTCTTTATCGAGAAACAAATGGGCTGTTACCCGTTCTGAGTTTCAAATTTCAAAGTGTACAGAAACTCGAGGTTTGGTAAGGTACATATTCTATATGAATGCCTATATTTGGAAATACTTTTTCAGGGGGCAGAGAAATGTGAAGGGCAAAATGAGTAGTACGCATACTTTGAGGGCCAATATAAAAGTGAGGGGCAGAGATGCACTATTCTTATGATTTGGTTTCTCATTCATTCTTTAAATTAAGACCTAGAAGAGGAGATACTCAAGGTTGCTTTGGTTTTGTATTTGTCTTATAAAGCTCTTAATTTTTAAGGAAATATTTATAAATCCATCATGAACATCTGTGGCAGTTATACTAAATGCTTTCAAATGCCTTAATACTTTTAAAAGTATGTGCAGGAGAAACAATTAAAATGATAGTGTGATAGTCAAAACAAGAGCCTTCTACACAAGCAGGTGTGATTTGAACTTGGAAAAAATATGGTTAAGGAATTGTCAGTGTCAGTAATCGTGACTTGTGGATTGTTTTCAGTATGTAGCAGTGAGTTAGCAGGCACTATGTATGACTTGAGATACCAGAGTTCATAGATGGCTTTTGGTGTGCTTTCATGTTAGAAAAATAAATAAAAAATCATCCATATCAATTTATTCCAGTAATTTCTAATCTTAAAAAAAATGCAATTACTGAATTTTCTTTTTTATGTATAATAATTAAATCTTATTTCTCATCTCAAACTTGCAGCTGCTTGGCTCCCGTTTGGAGGAGGAATGCAGTTCAGTTGGACGTGAACAAGTCAATAAGGCATACCAAGCCTACCGAGAGGCCTGCATTGACAGAGATAATCTGAAAAGCAAACTGGATAAAATGGTATGCCTTTCTAACTAAGGATCTAAACAGGCAAATACAATATAGTTTGTAGATGTTATCTGTGAATGAATTTTTATCTGCTGATTATCTGAGGTAGTTGTTTTATCATTCTTTCAGGTGTACACTTGGTGATGCTATATGTTGGAGAAATAATACGTTAAGTATCTTCATTTTCATACAGGGCTAGACTAAAAAAAATCAAAGCAATATTTATTCGGTATTTAGGAAAAAAAAGTTGAATTGTCAGATGTGATAGAAGAAAATTTTGTTTCCTTTTCTGAAAATAGATGAAAGAAACTGCAGAATCCTTGAAAAACTTGAATGAACAGTTGCAGTCCAAAGAAGTAGAGCTCTTACAACTAAAAACTGAAGTGGAAACACAGCAAGGTACTCAGATACTCTGTCTTGGTATACGCTTTTTAGTGGTTATATTACAAACTAAGGGCATCAAGAATTTTAATTCTCTACAGTGGTTAGGTAAAGGAGGTGAAATACTGTATTTTGAGTTTGTGTTGTCTCGTAAATGATGACATGCATGTTAAATTATCGAGAGACAAGGAGCTTCATGGTAAAGACCTGAGGCTATTTTGGCCAGTATTACACTGCTTAAATTGTATTACTTTCCAAGCATGTGATGTGCTATTTCTATTGCACAATTTTATGCAGTTGAACACTGGAGGTTTTCTTTCTGTTGTTCTGTCTTCTCTAACTAGCAATCTAAGACTGGTGAGATGCTAGGACCATCCTAGGTTGCTTCTTAATAGTAACTACCTGATTTTATTTCCGTCTAATAAAGACCTATTTAACTTCTACACTTTTCTTTTGATTGCATTTTTTGTTTTTTTCTGTTTGGAATTTCCTGAGATGCAAACATGGAAAAACACGGGTAAATTGTGCAACAGTATAAACAGGAGGAGAAGAGGCTCATGTTTTCAAAGCATTAGAAGAAGAGTGTAAATTGGTATATACCATGTATTTTTGTCATAACTGATTTTTATATTTGCCCGGATTAGGCTGTCACACAGGGTATGGACTGGTTGAGGTGAAACCATACGTTTATGGGAGTTCTTGAGCTGGGACTAACATCTAGTTGTCTTTTTTTCCAGTTATGAAAAGTCTGAATTGTTGTACTCAGACCAGCTGGGAAATAGAGAAGCTGAACAGTGACCTGAAAGTGCACAGTCTGGAACAGGATCTAGAGAACCTCAAGCAAGAGTGCAATAGTCTCAGAAAGGAATTGCAGAAATATAAACAGAAGGTACTTTGATTTTTAAGTATTTTTTGTATGAATAGTTTTAATTTCATTATAGTATTACTTTGAATACCCTTTTCAAGCAAAATAAAGGGTAAATAAATAGATGCAAAGAATCTCATCCCTAGCACATGAAATAATTTAAGGCTCTGTCTGCATGAGGAAGTCTCAGCTTGCTGAATAATCTTTTAGGTCTGGCATATCTTCAAGGGTAATTGAGCCCAGTCTTTCACAGTTACAGGGGACAAAGCTGACACTGTAAGCTGATTGCCCTGAATGAGGTTACAGGTGAGAACTGGATTTGGTAGCTGGAGGTCTTACCTTGAGTTGTCCATAGGAAACAGGTGAAATAGAGGTCAAATAGGATCTGAATGTCTGAGGCTAGGAGAGACTGTCATAGTGCCTGAAGAAAATTAAGAATTGAAAGAACTTGAAAATCTGAAGTACTAGAAGAGCATGGAACTGGTTGTGCAAGTAGCTGAAAAGTGAGGGAACCAGTAAGACTGTTCAGTTGCTTTGTCTTACACCTAACCACTCATTCAGACATGGAGGCAAAGATTTGTTAAGCCTAAGATAGGATGATGAATTTAAGATGATAAAGCAGGAACTAATGTGGTGGAGTTGATAGTTTGCATAAGAAAATTAAAGGAAGATCTGAGACAGAAAAGGCAAATACAGTTAAAGATAAGTATCAGTGTCTGCTCTTTCCCTCTCTTGTTCACTTCTGTTCATCTTATGGACAGTAAAAAGGACCTACACAGAGGGAGAGGAGGGAATGGTTGTGGAAGAAGGATTGTTTGGAGAAAATGGCAAAAATAAAATTTTTTAACCAGTACAATTTCCATCAGGACTTGAAACAAAATACAGGTTTTCAGAATTTTGCTATTGCCTCTTTGATGCTATTCTCCCCTGTTTTATGGGCAGGTGGCTGTTGTGAGGAGATCACTATATAATGTAGATGTGGTTAGGATCTCAAAAAAGAAACACTGTGTTACTCTGACAGTAATAAAATACAGTAAAGAAAATAGTTCAAAAGACACAAACTGGTGCATACTTAATACTTTACGTTTTATAGTGGCAGTCTCTGTGTCTCTGCAGTCACAATGAAATTATACAATAGGTTTAAAGGAGTTAAATGTGGTGGTTTCCATGATCATAAATGATTATGAAATTTTGTTTCACGTGGCATTTTTGAGTCATGTTCACGGTACATGAGACTTAGAAGTAGAATCCTTGCATGGTCATTATCCTGCTTTCTAATAGGATTTGTTTTAATCTGGAAATGTTTCTTTAGCTCTTTTTCTTATGGGCACATGTACATTACTACAGAAATCTACTTCTGAAGCAAATCTCCTAATCATCACTGCTTACTGTGCCTTGCGTTATGGAGCAGCCTGGAGTGTGGGAGTTACATTCCTTTTTGATGGAACTAAGAAGATGCACCCCAGCTTCTTCTGGGTATTCAGAGACTAGACATAGTTAGTTTCAAGTAATGTACTTCTCCTTTGCTGCCCTCAAAGCACATACAGTTGGAGCATTGGATTCTCATCAGGACAAATCTCTAAAGATCTGCTGCTGTCAGCAGCTTACACAGACATGTACATACATCAGTTGTCTCAGTTTTAGTCTTTGTTCCACTAGGTGGGGGTAAAACATTACTTGGAAGATATGCAAGGTGTTTTGTTAATCTTCATTGCTATTGGTAGTTTTTAGCTAAATCTGGCATTATTTTAGATATTTTCAGTAACTTGTAAGTTTGGAAGGTGTACTTAAATTTCTGTGCAGTTTTAATGTCCTCAGGTAGTTTTACAGAAATGAAGATTGTAGATTTCAGTGCAAGCATTAATGTTCCTGGCGTGAACAGAGTAAAATAGCATTTGTGAGGAATATTAGACATAACTCCAAAATAATGCTTATGCCAGCAACTTTTGTTTTAGAGAATAAACAGAAGGAAAAAACTCTCTCTTTTAATATCATTTCTACTTGATCCTTTTAACTACTTAATATAGAAACCAAAAACATTTTCAAATGTAGGGTAATATAGTGCAACTGAGTTTTTGAACAACGAAATTGAATCTCTAATGAGCAGTAGGAAAGTCTTCAGAAGCAAAGAGGGGGGAAAATTCTCAGGGGGAAATACAGAAATATAATGGTAATGACAGGTCAGCATTTTTTTTCAAAATGAGGTGCTACTTTCCTTTTTAGTGTTTAAATTCATTAACATTTTCAGATGCTTTCTTTTCAAAGTAGATATACTTCCTATATTTTTTCTATGTAAATATTCTTGTTCAAGTTTTGCATTGTAGTTGATGCAATGTGTTATACATTATATTGACAAGTTTCTTGAAGCTTTAATGGATCGTCATAAAACCACAGTAACTGGTGCCAGATTCGTTACAGCTTTGGCTAGAAGGAATGGTAGAAAGGGAATGTGAATAAAAGGGTATGAGTGAGAACTAACCTCAGGTGAGAGTCTAATAGGAGCATAACTGCTGAAGCAAGACACGTGTTTGATTTGTTAAACATTCCTCTTAACTTCCATGAGGCTGCTTGTATCACAGGTCACAAGAAGTGATGGAGGTTGGACAGGACCTCTGGAGATCATCTGGTCCAGCCCCCCTTGCTCAGTCAGTGACACCTAGAGATCAGGACCGTGAATTTGTGTTACAATTTCAAGCAGTCTTCAAATTGTGCTTTATGATAAAAATGTGTGGAACTGAATCTACACTGAAAGAGTTTGCTCTGATTTAAAGGTCTTTTTATACTGACACAAGGAAAGAAGACTAACTCATACCTAGACAGCAGACTTTTTGGAAGTCAAAAGTTTTTTGTCAAGTCTTTCTCATCAAAGAAAAAGACAAATTCCAAGGACTCACCTGTAAGAGTAAATACTGAAAGTATAGTGGTGGCTGATTTGAAGCACTTTGTCTAGTCATACAGAATCAGTGTGTTGTAATATTACCCATGCTGTTTTATTAATGAGTTCATGCGGTCTTGAATGAGGAGTGCTTTTACGTAAGTAGATTGTTTAGGCATTTTAAGTGGAAATTCTTAGTAAAACTCTTTATGCTCACTTTGACAATTGCTGTAGCCAACACAAATGAAAACTACTTGTGATGTTTAATATTAGTTAACTTGTAGGTTTATTGCAGTATTTTCCAATAGATTTGAGCTCATCAGTTAATTTTCTTTGCTTTCTTCATTCTGTTATGCAGGACCAGGACCAAGATGAAAATCTATTAAATGGAGACCTTCTTCAAAGGCAAGCTGTTCAGAGGTATGAAAATCAAGTGGCTTTCATGTTTTATACTTAGTTTACCAAGAGACAGTTAAATGAGTAGATATTTTTACAGCCTCTTCAAATGTGTTAATTCAAACAATATAATCTAATTTAAAGTCCAGGCAATACTCATTTAGAAAAACCATTGTCTTTTTTCCCCTCACTCTCTGTGAAGAAGAATGTTGTCTATGAAGTCCATAATGATGAAAATATTTACATCTTCAGACTCTTGTGAAATGAAAATTTCTCTTCAAGAAAATAAAACTCTCTCGGATTTAAAACTTAACTGTTTAATAATTTGTTCTGCCGAGGAGTTGGTAGATTATGTTCCAAGTCTCATTTCATTTTTCAAGAATTTCTTCATTCTCCGTATGAGGAAGTTTCTGTGTTTGCTTGTGTGGTGGCTTCATATTTCTTGCTAAGTACTGGAATATACATTTCTATTAGGAGCAGTGTTAAAGGGATTTTTTTAACTGAGGTGCCATTATGTGAGCTACACAAAAAGAAATGCCAGGTAATTTTCCTGGTAATTACTAATGTAAGAGAAAGCATTCTTATTTTACAGCCATTTAAATAAGGAAAACTTGTGCTTATGATAGTGTCCTCTGTTATCCTGTGTTCAGTATGTGTGCCATGTTGGAAAGTACATAGACCACAGAATCTGAATCTTAGAGATTGAAAGAGACCTGGAGATCATCCAGTCCAACTCCTGTTGCTAAAACAGGTTCCCTAGAGTAGATTACACAGGAAAGCACCTAGGTGGGTTTTGAATATCTCCACAGAAAGAGATTCCACGTCCTCTCAGGGCAGCCTGTTCCACTGCTCTGTCAACATCACAGTAAGCAAGTTTTTCCTTGTTTGTATGGAACTTACTATGTTCCATTGGCTCTTGTTCTGCTGGGCCCTTGTTCAACTGAAAAGAGCCTGGCCCCGACCTCTTGTCTTCTGCCCTTTTAGATATTTATAAGCATTGATAAGATGCCACCTCAGTCTTCACCAGTCTCAACAGTCCCATGTCTCAGCCATTCCTAATAAGGTACATGCTTCAGGCCTCACACCATTTTTGTGGTCCTCCTTTGCACTCTCTGGAAGTTCCCTGGAACCGAGGAGTCCAGAACTGGACATGGTAATACCTTTTAACTCTATATGCAAACAAACAGTTCATGACTGCCTGGAAGTTTCAAGATATTCTGCCTCAAATATAAATGACATACTACATCCATCTCTTATACCCAGTTACAACTATTCATGTACTTCCCCAGTTTTCCACAAGAGGGTAGAGTATTCCCTCCTAATGTCAGGCTGTTTAGAAGAATATCATCTTGCTTATTGGGCTACTGAAGAGATGAGAGAGGAAATCAGTCTCTGAGAAAGAACACTGTAGTGTTCTGTAGATACTACTTTCATATGTTCTCTGGTGAAATTATGATAACACTACACACTATGCCATTTGCACTCTCACTTTCTCTTGTGGTTTCTGTGGAGCTTCATAGTCTTACATGTCTAAAAAGGTGTTAGTTCAAGGTAAAAAGGTTCTCTCTTTGTTCCTACAAAGAAAATTTATTTCAAGAAATCACATTCAGGTGGCAGCTGTCAGAATTCACATATGTACAGCATAGTGTTTATTGTAATGTGATATACACAATGAGCATGTAGTGCTTTTGGAATACATAAGTCCATCTGAAAATCTGCGGGGTAAAGAAAAAAGAAAAGAGAAAACCCTGAAAAAACTCCTATGTGAAACATATGTTACAGCAAGCAATCACAATGTTTGAGGGATAGAAGTTTTTGCAGTTTGTTAACTTTGTGGAAAGTGGTTATTTCATATTTGTCAGCAGCCATCTAATACATCTTTAAATTTTCAGTTTGCAAACCTAGTTTACTGTACATCGAGTTAAGATTTTAGAACCACTATATATAATATCTTTTAATTTTTTAAGGTGATTAATTCTTATGAGTTTCAGGCTGGGGACTGTTGGCAAAATATTGGAAATATGTTTCTGAGAGGTGCACAATTCATACATTCTTTTGCTTTTACTCTAGTAATAAGAATAATGAAAAAAGAAGGGAAGAGAAGATCATTGTGATTAAATTCAGCTGTGTTTTAAAAAATCCAGCTTTGTATTAAAAGAAGAGCAAGAACAAAAAAAGTTTGTGGATAGAAGTTCTTGCTTTCCCTTAAAGTGTAGAGTGGACAGAACACACAAGCACATACAGGAAGAGAAATTATAATAGTCAAAGTTTATATTATGTGTTTGAAGGCAGTACAGGGTAAACATCCAAACACCTGGAAGTCCTTTTTTATCAATCTTTGCAGCGAGGTTCTAGGTCATCCCTTTGCAAGATGCTTTAAGGAGCTGAACTTACATTGAAAATTCCTTCCAGATGTGCTGTTCTATACTTACCAGTTTTATGTACAAATATAGTTAAGCATTGGACAGTTTTGATATAACTGATGTTTGTTCTTATTTTTGAGGCTTTTTAAAATGTGATTTTTTTTTTTTATTAAACATTCAGTGCCAAAAGGATTCTGCAGTTAAAGGCCTGAGGTTTCGTTAAACTTAAAGTATAATGATGGATTTTGTGGATTTCTGTTCATCTGTTCATCTTCACTTTCTTACTAGCTAATTATTTTAAATTTCAGCATTGGAACAATGCTGTTGTTACTAAATATTTCCTATTGTTTCCTATAGATAATAGATATGAGTCTCTAATTTTTATCCTTTCTGATAAAGCAGTATATTAATATAAATTAGGTGACTTGAATCAAAAACGCTGCTGAATTATTTTAGTTTGATCTGTGTGTGTGTGCACTCTCTGTATCTCTGTTATTGAGTCTGAAATCATTATACAGAAATGAATGGTGTAAAAACCCCAATATCCATTTTTGATTGAATGTTTAACTTGGCCAGGATCACAACCTATGATGGTATGTAAGGTCATTTGTCAAAAGTCATTCAGAGTTAATAGTCTACTTTTGCAATTGTGTTCATTTAATAGGTAATGTATATATCGTTTAATGTATGTATTTATAAAGGTTATAATATACAAAGTTTGTTCACTTCATGGTAATCATCAGAAGTGCTTGGTTCCTTTTGAATTCCGGTGCTCTAGTAAAATAAGCAATATATGTCAGGCAAAGCCAATTAACAGCTAATGTTCAGTGAGCCTTGGAAATGTTAGTAAGTATGGGGGTGCTCCTGAGATGGCAAGTGTTTAATGTTGAATTTCTTTTTGTTTTGAAAGTGTGCAGCAAGCATACTGGGAACTGAAGAGAGAAATGTCTAATTTGCAGCTAGTGACTGAAGTGCAATCTGAGGTTCTACGAAAATTGAAAACAAACATAACAGCGACCAAGAAAGGCAAGTCAGTGTTTGCAGTAGCAGACCTTACAAAAACAAATCGTAGATCCAAGCTGTACCATTTTAAAAAGAAGCTAGCTATCATATCTTATCAGAATCTCATCAATTGAAGTTGATAAGCTAGGCTATATTATGGTTCCAGCCTAGCCATTTTCTGCTTTTGCTTCTGTCTTATACTGGTCAACTTCACACATAAAGGTGTTGCTGATGTGTTTTTCCTTCAGTACTGTATTCTGTTCCCCTTGTGGCTTTTTTCTCAGTCAAGTGTTGCTTGTGTGCACAAGGCTGAGGTGTTAAGTTTACTTGTATTTGACCTTTTACCACAACTACTTCAGATTAAAAAATATATATATTTCAACTGCTGTCTTATTTTCCGAGTTTAGCATTTTCCCGATATAGTATTAGTTTGGCAGCATATTACATGTCAATAGACTGAAATTCTATTATGTTTGTATATTTTGTTAGCATTCTGAGAAGTTGCACTTCCTAGCAAACTGCTGTGCAAGGTTACTTTTTCTGACTGATAATACAAAACTGTCTTATTTCTGCTGCTACCTTGCAAACAGTTTAGGGGAGAATAATTTCTGTGAGCAGTTTATCAGGTGTTTTTTTATTTCATGTATATGTTTCTCTTGAGCCAAATGCTTTACAGGAAGGTTCTTATTTATTGAGGCATGACTTATCAGTCTATGAGATTATCTCAGTGTTTCTCCCTTGCTTGAGTTGTGGTATTTACTGAGTTCAGAATACAGAAGATGCTGATCAGAGAAACTGAACTTGGTTACAGTACTTTTGTCACAGTCTTGAGTGTCCCTTTTCTGTTTCTAAACAGCTTTGGGCTCAATGACCCAAAAACAGGATTCACCTCCAGGTAAATGGCTGGGTGACTTATCTGTGGCCCACAGTGATTAATGATAATTCTCTGGTACTTGGCTGATAAATTGTTAACATTTTCAGAAGTGTGTAAGAGTAGGTGGACAGCTTTAGTGGAAATGAAAACTTTTTTTTTATGCGTTGCTCATAAATGTAATGTAGATACATCTATGCTGGTATTTGTAGAAAAACATTGGCTTATGCTGAGCAGGGGTAGAATTTGCTTAAAACATCTTTGTAGTGCTAGGTATTTTATCATAAACAAACCACTTGCTGCTATTAGAATATATATTAGGGATGAGAGAAGCTTTATATTATTTATTTTTTCTGATCATCATCTTTGAAGGTGTTAAGTGTGCAGAACACAGTTCATTGCTGTGTTTTTGATGTTAACATTCAGATTCTAATTGCCTCCCTACATAATTAAGAGCTAACATCAACAAATGTGAATGTGTTTCTGCTGATGGATTTTTGTTATGTTTTTGAAGGCCTTTTCTACAAAGCATGTAAAGCTCAGCCTTTATTTTTGCCCACTGCTTGCAGAGTACCTGATAGAAGGTATAACATGAGCAGATTTAAGATTAAAAAAACCTGAAGTTTCTCCCCTGCTGAGTAATGTGTCCATTGAAGTGTTTCAGGTATCTCAAAAAATTGATAGTGTAGAGGGATCTTCACAGAACTTCTCAAAGGTACCAGCTGTGAGTTGGTATGTTGGTCACTGCTACAGTACACTCTGTAATCTGCTTGCAGCGTAGGAAAAAATTGTGGTCATGTTTTTGCTTCCCTGTCAAAGATTCTCATCTCTGTTCTTTGCCGGTTATGAGGCTACTCTTTAATTTGAACACCGCAGATATTTAATTTTGACTTGTCCTAATCTAAGGGATCATCAGAAGTAAGTTTTTGCAACTATTGCACTCATGGAATAGCGTAATGCTCTAATGCTACAGAATTTTGAATGTGGCTGTGCCACTTCAAACAGCCAAAGTATCTGAAAAATTAACATAGATGGTCCACAGAGTAAAACCTATTTTGTCTATAAATATTAATGATTACTACCATTTTTCAACTGATGAAGTACTGCAGTAGTACTTGAAATGTGCTACAGTAGATTCCATTCTCCTTAAGCTTCTAAAGGTTACCGAAATTTGAATGGCCTTTTAGACCTGCCAGGATGAAGAGGCTAAATCCAATTTATCACCATCTCTTTCAGATACAGTGTCTCTACTGTTGGCAAGTGCCTTTGGCTGACATTTGCAAGTTGAGTAACATCCTTTAATTTTTAGTGACAAGTTGCAGTTGCATACTTTGACCAAGATAGTGGCTCTTATTTTCGTTCTTTCAAGAACTGAAAATACAAATCACAGTTCGTACTCCAAATTCACAACTATTCAGGAAAACTACCTGTGATTTTCTTCAACTATAGGAATCAATTATCTACTCCACTGAGGTAGCACTACAAAAACATGACCTGAGCATTTTCATCTGTCTGAATAGACGGATGTGTATTGTTACAACTCTTTCATTTCAGGTAAACGCTGTCCTATTTCAAAATCTTTCCCTTTCTAATGTAGTTAAAAACTTGACTGGAATGTCAGATGACTGAGCGTTGCAGTCTGTGGCTTTACTTTCAAAAGTCAGACAATACTGGAGTACAGGGAACCTGTGAACATGCATTTCCTTCTTCTGCTTCATGGACTGGGAGAATTCAGGTTCTTGGCAGCCTGAGAACACGACTTGTTAAAAGAATCAGTAAAGTAGGAAGAAGTGTCCTCCTGTGTAAGCAATATTCTGAATCTGGTAAATTTTTCCAAGCGCATGGAAGTCCTCTGTTTCAGCATTTATTCCAGTCTTGTCAAAAAAATTATTCAGTCCACCGGTGTTGAAGTGGGGAATGGGAGTTGGTGTTGGGTATATTTAGACATTGTGATTTGAGGATCTCTGGTTCATCTTGCAAACTCTGATTGAATAAGTTAGTATATTCAGTTTGTGACATTTAATTAGTATTTACTAAATCAAAAGATGATTTGAAAATCTGTAGGTTGACAACCTGGGCTTTAACATACTTGCTACACTGTTGTACGTTTTAGAGTATATGAAAAATGCAGTAAGTAATCCAGTGTAATTTAAAAACCTTTTAAAATCTTTTTCAGCTGCCTCTTCTGTACCAGTACAGTGTCTTGAGTTGGAGAATATTACAAAGCAGAACCTGATGTCTGGGGTGGTGTATAAAAAACTCTCACAAAGTGATAAAGTACACTGCAATGCTGCACCACCCCCTCTGCCAGGAAATGTGGAAATTCCATCTGAAAGGGTCATTCTACAAGCATGGACAGATGAGAGACCCATTCCAGTTGATGGTAAAACATTTCAGGAACACCATTCTTATGGAAAGAGCTCTCTGGAAGATAATTCCTGGGTATTCCCAAGTCCTCCAAAACCTAATGAGAATGTGTTTTGGGAAACAAATAAGATTTTGTCAAACTGTCCAGCAGATTACCTGGATCAGTGTAATCAAAATTGTCTGCACAAGAACTAAGCAATTTTTAGAATGAACTGTGGCATTCTAGAATGATTCTGAATAGGCACCTTACTGCTTGAACTTTTGAAGAGGTATTTAAATTGGTTGAAGTGGGGTTTTTTTTGTGTTTTTGTTTTTTTAATATTCTGTTTCTAAAACAGAAAACCCTGTCTTCCTCTGCTGTAAATCAGGAGCAAGTTCCTTGAAGTTAAAGCTCTGGTATAATGTGAACGAATCTAGCATGGGGCTTAGACAGTCTTTATTGCAAATGGCATCTGTTTCCAAAAGATTACAGCAAATAGTTCTTGAAATAAAAAAAAATTTCATTCTGTATTTGTTTGCTATTTGTATGTTTTCAAGAAGATATTTGGTGGTGTTCAACTTGTAACAGTTCTTAGCTTGTTTTTGTCAGGTTTGTTTTGCAGATTAAGATACTAAATGAAGACTGGATTATCTCCCTCTCTCAACAAACTTTCTTACTCCTATGGTTTAGAAATGCTTTTTTATGTGATTTTCATCAAAAAGATGAGATTTTTGTTAAAATTTATTTATGTGAGATAGTGGCAAGGGAAGAATCACTTGTAGGCTATCCTGTTTAGGTCACAAGTTTGGGGCATTATGAGTTAAAAAGGATTGTAAGTAACACTGCTGAATGCAGTGATTCCTAACAGCTCCATTCCCCCTGCGTATTCTGGCTGTGGGAAACTGCCTGAGTTCTGCACACAGTGTTACCTGCCACAGAATCATCCTATTCACGGTGCAGTTATCCTTCCGTGCCTCCTTTGCACACCACCAGAACCTTGACTTTTTATTTGTGTGGTTGTTAAAGCTACTAATTTTTCTTTTATTAAAGAAATAAAGCCTTAATTTAATTGGACTATGTGTTGATAGAATAATTGTTTTGGTATCCTTAGTACTCCATTGAGAACTGAAGTTACTAGATCATGACTGTCTGCTCTGTAGATTGTATGTCCTAGTACTCTTCTGGGGGTTTCATCTTAAGGCTAAGAACTGTTTTTAGACAAATACTATTTATGCCTTGTTTTTTAGAAACTTTTGCTCCTCTATCTGAGTTTAGTACAACAAGGTTTAGTAAATGATTTGACTGCTCAATACTTTGCAGGAAAATGCTTTGTATTTTAGATCTATGAAGCTTTTAACCTATAATGAGTGGGAAGGTGGTACTAAAGATGTTATTTACAGATTTGTGTGGGGATTTCAGTATTCAACTTCACAGGTCCTACTTAAGATCAGTGTGATTGAAAAAAAAATAATAATTCCATAGCTGTTTAGTAGCAAATTACTTAAAATTGCCTGAAAAAGCATGAGGAAGCTATGACTATGGAATAACCATTGTAATGACAGGCTGTAAAGGTATTACTTAGGCAATTGCTACAGGATCTGTGTGGTTCCAGTCACTTTCTTCCCTGTGGAATAAATGCTTCACATGATGCCCATCTTCTCCTGTTTCAGTTTGTCTATTAAAGTTGAAAGAATGCCTTTCAGATATCTTCTACTGTATTAGTGAACAGCATACATAAATAATGTTTCCCGTTCACCAGATACTGGTTTTTTATCTTTCTATTATCTTGCTCACGTATAGTGGCTTGTCTGTGATTAATGGAAATGGTATCAGATGCTGGAATTTATTCTGACCAATGAACACATCTGACTCAGGGGAGCACAATCTCTTGGAAAGTAATAGAACAAAAGCCAATATGCATAAAACAAACCCAAGTCACTAGGCTTTAGCTGACAGAACCAACTACCTGTGTAATAACAAAGCAGCAGGAAGCATTTCTCATGTGGCTGCAAAAAGTACGCAGTGTCTGTTTCCAATGTAGCTTGTTTCTTGGGGTTCCCCCAGCCTGTCTTCATGGAGATTTTTGATTTTAAGTGACATATTATTCTGCAGCCATCAACATGAGCACTTTTTGATTTCTGCAATGAAGGAATTCTGTGTAAGATTTTGAAATAAATTTATTTTTGATTGAAATTGATTTAACTTACAAATCTTTTCTAGTAAAAAAGTGTTCAGTGTAAAAACTTTTTACTTGACTTTAAACATTTGATTTTATATAAAGGCCATTCCAAATGTGAAGGAATTAATTTCACATTGGTTCTCTTCTATTCAGGAATAAAACAGCCCACTGAATACTTTGTTGCATTGTGGGAGATGTGTTATCTGATGCTGGAACCTGAAGGACTTAATTACTTTTAGCTGCATTACATTATTGGGGTTCCACTGCTGTGTCAAAAGGTGCCCCAGTATCCTGTGGCAGCACAACTTTTAAAAATGAGGCTTTGCTGAGTGATGTGAAAGAATTACCAGGCTTTGCTTCCAGCTCTTGGTTTACCAATGTTGCTTCTCATGCTGGAGAAGGGGCTAGGAAAGAAAGGGATGTTTGCTGAGAGGAACTTGAGAAGTGCTGACATCTGAAAGAGGAGGGTGAGATTACAGAGCTTACTTTAGGCTGTATTTCCAACATGGTCACTCATTGCTGTGGTGAAACTTTAACATTTGAAAGTAAGCCCCCAGATCTGAAGTCACATGGGAGCTAGCTCACATGAGAAGCACCTGTTTGTCTGAAGCACTTTTCCATCTTGAGTCAAAATTTGATTGTCATTTAATCCAAGCCACTGGTGGCTTAAGGTACTTTTTTCCATTTTCAGAAGTAAAAGCTTTTCATCACAATGACAGCAAATAAAATGCAGAAGTAGCAGTAGAAAAGGGGTTCCGGTGTTTAGTGTGCAAGTGTGTATTTGTTGCATCAAGCAGTAAAATTGCATGAGATAAGGACCAATACCTTCAAATAAGCACAAAAAATTGAGAAAAATTCATTTGAAAGGAAACTGAACATTTAGAAACTTCACCTAAACCACAGGTTTGACAGTTTTTAATTTAAGAAAGCACTGATTCCAGAAATGAAAGACAGCTTTTGGGCAAGTGGTGGTTGTTGCCTTGCATGTTTATGTGAGCAAGCTGATGAATACGTATTTGAATGCTTTGAGAGATGGACTAACCTTCTAATAATGCATATGTAAACTTCCATGTTTGCTTGATTCCTTTGAAGTAATTTTAATATCTCATCCTTGCCAGTTTTATTGTGTTTACGACAGATTGGTTTTCTTCCCATATGAAACATCCATACTGAAGAAAAGCACATTCTCAAATGGGCTGTAATGTACTGTTGAACTTCTGCAGCTGGAATAAGGCAAGCTCTATACTAGACATGTGATGGAGGTACAGTAAAACAAAAGCATTGCAGATAACAGTGTATGAACTGTACTAGAGATGTAAAGCAGATATGATTAAATCTTAAACTCTTTGCAGTAGAGTTTAGAAATCTTAGACACCTATATTTTTAATGACAGTGTGGCCTAATAAAGGAAGACTGAGATGCTGCAGTAGCTGACTGACTCACCTGCATTTTCTTCTCATCTTCAGGTAGGTTCAATGAAAAAAAGTGGTGGGGAAGAGGTAAGGTGTTTCCCTGTTACTTTGTGCTACAAAAATATTTTTTTTATTGGTCAGACTTTGCCCCTCTTTGCAGGGGAAGAATATGCTATTTGCAGCTGTATGAACTTTAGGCAGTAGACAAATATATTTATTATTGATACTAATTGTAATTTGAATTGTGTTGCGTATTCCCAAGTCTAATAAGGATCTGAATTATTTTTCTTAAAAATCTGCTGTCCTTAGAAAGTGTTGTGGCATGAACTGAAATCGGTGCCCCTCAATTTGCTCCTTTTAAGCAGAACGGGCATCATTTCATTGCATTTTGAAATCAAAGAGATCAAAAACAGCAAGGTGGAAGAGGATGCTGTAGTTGTTAGGATGGTATTTTTGCGTATGGTTCGATGTGGCGGAGAAGCATGAAAAATAACCAGGCACTTATTGTTACTGAACTATAAGCGGATGGAAGATTTGCTTCAAGTGTATTTGACTTTTTTTTACCTACACTGACAGTTATTGATGCTGATAGAATACTGTCTTTAAGTGCCACATGGTGGATGGCTTTAAACTGGTGGGTCCCCTTAAAAGTAGTTGCAGTGTAAGCTTCACAACTTGCCGTAAGCTTCTGCTTGTTGGAGGTAATGCAACTTCCTTATCACCACATCTGCCTACCCTCAGTCAGAATAGGACAGCTGAATGTGCTTAGTGTTTTGTATTGAAGTCAGAATAGCAAGCCTGGCTCTCACCCTTCTTGACTAGCTTTTGACAAAGTGTTTTTGTTGCTTGTTTTTTAAATTTTTTAAAACTTTTAAAAATCTTTTTAAAGAGTTAATTGATGAAGCACAGCTTAAGGCTTTATCAGTACTACTGATGCTTTACTACCTCTGTTAGTATAAAGGGCTGCTTCCTGTTAACCTGAGTAGGAAGGTTGCAGCTGAAATGAAAACAAGCAGTTTTAAACTTTTAAATTGAAGCAGTTTACTGGTATGTGCATGTCACTGCACAGCACTTACACTTTCATTTCAACTTTAAAAGACGTAAATGCAATTAAGATACTAAAAGCATGAAAAGGTGTGAAAACAAGAATTCAAAACTAGGAAAAAATCAAATTAAGGCCATGATTATAAAAAGAGTAAGCTGATTTCTAAGGTAAGGGCTAAGCGCAGTTATGAATGCCACAGCAAACAAGGGAGAAGGTAAGGTGTGAGTACTCAGTTCTTAAACAAGTGTCAGTAAAGAGAAGTGAATGGTGTACAGTGAATGATTTGTAGCAATTTCAGGCTCGATAGCAAAGTGAGCTTGCTTGCTTACTGTCAGCTCAAAGGGATTGGTTACAGCCCTGCACATAAAGCATGTAACAGAATGGCAGAGGAGTAACGCCCACAAGTTAAGTAAGACTTTGTCCCATTATCCACATTATTTCTACTACCAGTACCAATCAGTGCACTGGGGTTCCTGCAACCTGCTGAATGTAGGTCCTACTATAAAAGAATGACTGCATTGCAGTGCTGTTATCTGTACTGACTGGCTGTTGTGTGAGCTTGAGTAAGACAGATTCCCATGAGCATTAGTGCTGGTACCTACCTACCACAGTCAGTGTACCACACTGCCTCTAACATCTGTAAGAGCCTTTGATAAAAATGACAAACACACAGGCTTTCTTTCCAGAGACTTCTAAGTGTAGCAAGTTTTCATACTGAAATAACAGAACTGCTGTCTTGAAAAAATAATAAACTTTTAGAAGTCATCATCTATCTTCATTTTCCTCTATTTATGTACATCTGGGGGGAAAAATCTTATTTTCTATTACTTGATGTTAAGTATTTGTTTTCCAAAATACTTTAACTGATGAGACAAAACCAAGTATGTGTGTAGAAAATCTAAGTTAGCTAATTAAATAGCTGAGTACCACTTGACTACTAACCTAAAATGCTGTACATCTTTTAGCCTGTCTTTCTGAAGCATTCCCTAATCTTCCAGTCAACATGCTGCCTAATAGCAGGAGTAATATTATTGGTTATTCCATTACAATACACAGAGCAAAAGCAAGGAGTAACCTTCGAAGTTAACTTCAGCTTATATCTCAAAGTCTGACTGGAATTTCCCACTTGAGTAACTTCATAGCAGTGATAGTTTTGTGGTGAAATAATACCTAAGTTAAAAGCAAATTTTATTACTTAGGTAAAGGATATTTTTTATATTGCGACATGAAGGTTACCATGTGAACAAATATCCTATGTGGCCTTTCCATACTCGTACATTTTAGAGTTCTACAATTATGCAGCTTTAAGTATCTGTGTGCAAGAAATCCTTTGTGTACCCCTTTCCCACAGGGACTTGTTTACACTAAGTTTTTGCAACAGCATTAATAGATGTTTAAAAACTGACCTGAATCTTAAGTAGGTAGTTTAGTTGTTTGTTCATCCATAATCATTTTGCAAGTGTGGTCACGCCTGAAGTATGGAAGTGTATTTAATCACCTTCATGCTGAAAAAATGACAGTAGGGGAAGACATTCCTCTCAGTGATTTCTTGCCCTCATTGTGCCTCTTCACATTCTCAAGGAAAGTCTGTATGGACAACTCTTGAGTTCTTCTCCAGAGCTGAGCAGTCAGTTGTGCCTCAGAAGGGCATGGAACATTCATCTCTTTTGATATTGCAAACTCAAAATTTAAGTCACAGAGCAGGTAGAAACAATATTGAGCTCTTACAACTCAGCATTTTTATGAAAAAGATGAAGTAAATCAGTCCAAGGTCTTTTCTGCTTTTGCCTCCCTTCTAGCAAGAGCATCAAAAACATTTCCATATACTCTCAGCTTCAAGTGACAAAAAGACTAGTTAAAGTATATACCCAATTTAGGATTTGTTAATATAGTTTACATTTATTCACCCTTAAATTTTTATGTAGCTTGCCACATATAACTAGATACAAGCTTTAAATTTCAAAAGGCTGTTCGTTAATTGGTAATAATTTCAAGTCTGGATGGAGGAGCAGGCTTCTGCTGTCAAAGTTTGCAAGAGAAATTGCATGCATTATAAACTTCAGTACAGAAAACGAGAAATGTTGACCTTCATCTTCAGAAAGATTTTTTTTTACTGATTTGCTGCTGAATTTTACCAAGAGATACTGATGATTTAAAAGAAGTCTTTAAATCAAGTCAAATCATTAAGTTGGATATAAAACTGTAACAGTTGATTTGAACTATACATTTGAAGTAATCTTTTGTCTTTTTTTCTTAATTCCAGTTGCTCTATATTCTTCTCTTTGCTTCAAATATTCTGCTTTGCATTCCTCATTGAACGATGGATCAGTATAGCTAAAAGAAAGACAAACATTATTAGAATAATAGAATACTAAGTATATAAACAGCACTCAAAACTGATCTTCAGTCCCACCCGAAGTTATCATCTTAAACTCTAATACTGAATTGGTCTGTGTTCTCTTCTGAGACAACTCTTTCTTGAGGCATAGTTCTGATTCTTCAGGCCTATGCATGAAACCATAATGAGAAATTCCAAATTATTCTTTCTCATTTGCAGTTAGGTTCCTATGTATAAGAACCTCTGGAGAGCACTTATCTTTATGCACCTGAGAACCTACCATGAATTTAATGGGAACAATTTCAAGCTTGTATCCTGAACAGTAAACATGTATGTAGGTAGCTCCAAAAGTCATATTTCCCTGGAAATAAATAGGAGACTACAACAGATATAAAGACCACAGTAACACTATTTGATAGTGTTTTGTAGCTTAGAATTTTCTCCATCTTGCATCTTAGCTATGTATTTTAGCCAGAGGTGAACAGGAGCCTGCACATCGTACTTATAAAAGTCTGCACTGTTTCACATCTGCTATGACAGCAAATTTTCCAGTGATATTCCAGTGTTGCCATCATCATTTTGAATGCATTGAAACCGATGTTCAGCGCTATACATGTTTCTCTGGTCGTGATTCATGTGGATGGGCTGATTGAGATGCTCTTCATTTCACGGTACATAACCATCTAGAATGTGGCCTGTCTTTCACATCCCTGTCACCACTGCTGAAACACACCACTCCCTACCTCACTGTGCTCATGTCCACAGTTTGGTCTCCGTGACTATGAATGTCAATGTGTGCCATTTTTTTCTGCAAGGAGGAATTCACTTCCACCCCTTTGCTTCATACACACTTCCATGTCAGATGTCAGACTGCCCCTCTGCTGCCAGCTGTCGCATGGCAACAACATGTGATGGAATACTGGTGGGAAGGTTCAGCCTCTGCCATACTCCCACCATCTCCATCTGACCTAGTGGGCCATCATAATAACTTAGGAGGCATTACTTTCAGAGCAGTACTCATTGTATCTTCATCATTAATTTTAAGTCAGCTGACTTTAAGTATAGTGATTCAAGTGCTAAATATTTTTCCATAGCGCATATTTTTTTGTGCTGTCTGTTTTTGTTTGTTTCTTTGCCTTAAAAAAGGTAGAATTTAAGGTATGGAGTTACAGCCAAGTAGAACTGAGAAACTTTGAGTTCCCACTCTTGTGGAGCTGCATCTTTTTTTAATTAATTCTCAAACATCAAACTCCACCTCTCACTACAGTAAAGGCTTTTAACATAAAGTTCTGGTTTAGCAGAGTACGTATGACATGCATTCGATCACAACCCAAACCACCCCCACCCACATCAAGCTCAGAGAACACCGACTCCATACTAAGAAATCCTAGAATAACTTCAGCCTAGTGACACTGTGGGTATATTAGACTTCAAAAAGAGACATTTAAATCCATAAAATATCCATAAACACTGAAAGACAGTTCAAGAAGTAAAACTAGAATGAACTTATCCTGTTTCTATAACAGAATGTGCTTCTACGGTTCACCCACGTCCTCAATTCAGCACACTGAGTACAGGGCTGCATTTCAGTGGGACTGAAATTCTGGATCCATTAGCAATATTTAAATGCAAGAAAGCATTTTTAGCCATAGGACAGTTTTCTTAAAGAAATTAGAAAAGTCTTGTCAGGTAGAGCCCTGACCACCATCCTTTCTTCTAAAGCAAAGACATGATTTTCAGAAAAAAAACATCAAAGTCACAAGGTTAGCAAAACCTTTCTTAGAAATACTAAATTTTTGATTCAATTCTACATTAGTACAGCCAAAAACATGGAGTGAAACAAAGGCTCAGAAAGGACTTACTAGCCAACGAGGCAATCTTTCAGTGCTGTGTTCTCTTTCCGACACTTTACCACCATAAGGAAACCAGTTTCTTTGCAACACTTAGTAAATGCTACAGAAAAACAAAAAGATTAGAATTAGAAAAATGACAGTAAAAAAAAAAAAAATCCCCATGTGCCTGCTTTTCCACAGGAAAAAGTAAAAAGAAAAGAAAACCTCACAAATCAGACCTGATCTGTTATTAACACAGCTGTAGTTGGCCTGGAGCTTCATACTTTATAAGGTCTTTGGGGCCTGTTTAGCAACAAGCTTTTAATTAGGATTCTCCCCTCATATTGTATAGTGTGTGCACACACTGCTATGGGTAATGCTAACAAATTTATGAAGCTACTCTCGCAGCAAATCCATGATTCTTAGATGCTTTTCAAATTGACTATTCAGGGCTACCGCAGCAAAACAAAAGGAAGCGTGAAGAATTAGGTAAGCCAAGATTATGAGAAACGTTAGCATTTCCTCTTCAATGAAAGAACTATTTTGGAATAATTAAAGTCCATTTATATCTACAAATTAAGAGCAGAGTGATGTTGACAGCAACTACTGTCTCAAAGAAATGTCACTGCCAATCACCTCCTGAGAAGGCATCTTTGGGATACAGGACAAGAAACTGTGAGGTCCTGGTTCTCTCCTGGAGTGCAGGGAGAAAATCAGCAGTTAGTTTATCAGCTGGGATTGCCAGGTGGTACTCTACAGCACTGCACCGCTCCACAGAGGACTGGCATCTTCTCTGTATCATGTGGCAGCCTTTGGGTGTTCTTCAATACAGAACTTCTTCGAAGTCCAAATGGCCAAGAAAGGAGCATTGTCCCTGAATATACTGACCACCTTCAAAGTTCTTGGAATCACAATCTTTGGAACAAGAGAATATAAAAGGGAGGAGAGACAATCATCAGTCTCTTCCCAGGAAAAGTGATCTTGCACCTATTTGCTCAATGAAAAGTAACTACGCAGGCAGTCTCAAGGGCTTTGAGACTTTAAAGAACATTTAAACAAACACAATTCCTAACATTATATGCTGGTTCTATAACCACATTCTACTTGAAAATGTACCAGATGAAACTACACCACAAAACTGCAATTAAATTAACTAGTTAATTACTTAATTGGAAAGACACAGTAACTTGTGCTCAAAGATACGTATTAACAACGAAGCTTGATTTCTCAGCTCTCATGTGATGTGTGATTTAGCTTCAGACCCCAAATCATCCAAATGCACATGCACAACTTTGAGGAAACTCTGAACAGCTAAAGCTTATGAAGCAGCACAAGCTCAGAGCAATATACAAAGCGTACTATTAGATTATCAAAATGTTCTTTAGCTTTTACAGGTGACTGTTTTTTGTTTCCTGCAGTGCTTACACTGAATGTCCCTACATCAGCATCTCAGAAATACCTATTATCACATTTCTAAAAATGCCCTCTGTTTTTCTGCAAAACATCAGAAGCCTCTGAAAGCTTATGGTTCATGCAGTGATCAGTTTGATTTCTACTCTCCACAGGCACTGCCCTAAGTGCTGTGCAATTTTTCTGTAGTAATCATTCCTCCTGGAAACTGTGAAGTAAAAAAAACACTGTAGACAACGGGAGGTCCCTCTCACTTGTTAGCCCACCCGTCTTGATTGGCTACAGGCGCAATGTCCTGGTGAACAGAACCTGAGCTACAATTGCAAGCACTGCCTGCCTTCAGGAGCCCCACGTGCAACTACGGCCAGGGAACCAGGAAGCACTGCTACCAAGTAGTAACACTGCTTCCTGCAGCCATTCCACACATCTGCAACAACAGAGCAAAGTAAGAGCAGGCTGAAAGGTATCCGGAGTTCCCACATGAGCACATAAAACTTAGCTCTCTTTTCCTCTGATTTCCAGTGCTTCAAAATCCCTTTAGCAGCCACGTAAGGCCTGTGATTCAAGACAGGTCTAGTTACAAGTGTTTACCAGAAACCTCGCCAGATTCTGAAGAATGTTGTTTTAATTATGCTCTGTCTTGCTCACAATTCTTTCATTAACCAAAACATCTCAGTGTTCATCAGCACAAAGAGTACTAACACTATGGTATCTGGAGCCATCGTGTACAATCTCAAATCAAGAAGTCATCTCCATCTCTGTCATCTGACAATGGACACATCCCTCACTCAAGCACTGTCTGCATGGTAGACCAAAGCTTTGGGGTGCACACCATAGGACAAAGGGAGCAGATAGCACAGGATCTAATGACAAACGCACTGCAGTTCGACACGTTAACAGCCATAAGGACAACTCAGACCTGCAGGAACGCCAACGTGCTCCAAACGAGCCCACTTCCTGACACTGCTGCATGTCATACAAAGAACAATTGCTCTCTCAGAGCAGAACTGATCTCTTAAAAATCTTACACACAGTCCCATTTTTACTATTCTGGCAAATGGCATTCCATGACTTTGCAAATTTGTGCAAGGAAACAATGTTTTCTTTCTGCAGGCAAGCAGCAATCTACCACAGTAGAACCTCAGGCAGCAGTGAAAATAGATGCAAATTCAGGTCACCTGCAAATTCGGTGCAGGTTGTAACAAAGCAAAGAAATAGAATGTTTCAAACAAGCAAGAGATTTCAGCCATATTTAGGAACTGGGGTGTTTTAACTTTTAGTTGCAATATGGCTGTACTGAAATTGAGCAATAAAGAAATGAAAAAGACAGAGATATTGTTTCAAAGCTGGCAGCATTTGGCTGAGGAGCAGAACAGGACAGAATGTGTGTTAAAGGAAATAAGGGGTGGAGTGAAAATGCCTTGCTAGGGAAAAAACAAGCTTGTGCTCCAAAAAATGAACCCTGATAAGGTTCTACCATGGTATGTATATATGTCCATCACTGAACGCTCTATGCACAGGTTAAGGATAGATCCTGCAGGTACCTGCCACTTATAATGGACACTGGCTGTGATCACCAAGTCCAACCATCAACCCATCACCACCACACACTGTGTCCCTCAGTGCCACATCTACACATTTATTGCACACCTTCAGGACCTTCTTTTGTCCTATTGCTGTTAATGGAGAGAAGAGGCCAACCCCCACCTTGCCACAGTCTTACTACTAAAAGTCATTAGTATTTTAAAGGAATGTTTTTCTTAATTATTTTTGAGTAGTTTCCCCTCCTCTAGTTCTGTTTTACTGCTTGACTACAAGCTAATATGGGAAACTGATGGAAATCGAAGTGAAACTGAGTAATTCTCATTTATATTGGACTGAAGACAGACTGGATGAGTGATTTTCCCATCTATCCCAACAGATACCGAAGCACATGCACTATCTGCCACATTAAAGACATGATTTTCAAAGGTTAAAAGATCAGATACATTACCAGAGGGTTAGTTACAACAAGGTTGGTGGAATTCCACTGGCACCTGTCCTGGGACGTACAATTCATAATTCAACAAAAAAAAACCAAAACAATAATTGAGGACACTTTTTTACCTTAGAAGATATCTATAGGTTCAAGAAATATTTGCTTTTAAACAATGAGAATCAAAACTTCAAGGATTTTAACTTAAAGGACGAATCAACACCTGGCGTACCTTGACCCAACTCTGCAACATAAAGATAATGATTCTCTTCCACACCATTAGACCGGATTGAAGGTTAAATTTAACATTCTTAATCCCAGTGTCTGCAGATATCTAAACAGTGGACCACAAAAATAAAGCACAATTTTTAAAATGCAATTTTTTTTTTTTTACTGCAGTCTATCAACACTACCCCCTCCAGCCTCAAATAAAGGTAGACAAATCTCTTCCCTGTGCTGCATGCAAAATGAGCTGGCAGCATCTGTGTCAGACTGTAGCAAAGTTTCAGTTACATATAAAGATTTAATAGAAAAAAAAAAAAAAAAATCAATGCTCTGTTCCAAGCATAAAAACATAATCAGAAAGTTTTGATTTTCTGTAGTGTTAAGTAGAACAGATAATATTTGTGGGGATTTTTTAGCATAATATTTCTTATGTTATTTATTTAGACTTCAAATAGCTTTTTTAAAAAACAGATAATCATTTCTTTAGGTACACATGAAAGTCTTTCCACACACAAAGCAAGAAAAGAACAAAAGCTAACTGTGACATCTCCAGACACTGAGCAGTGTGGAAAATGGGTTGAAAATAAAACACTGAGGGATCATCATTATTTTTATTTTACTGTATGAACTGTCATTTGAAGGCCATTTTGGAAGGTCCATTTATTGCAGACTCGTAATATTACCCACACGCTCATATTGCAAAATGTTGTGTGATTAGAATAATAGCAAAATGGTCCTTTATCAGCCATCATTACATATCTCTCTTGCAGATGTTTGTGTACATAAAACAAATGAAATATTCTGCATTATAGAGATAAATTGATCCTCTCGGGTCTGGCTTTGGTTTATTTAAAGATTTTACAATTTTACTACTTAAGAGAAAGTCCTACAGAGGTGTTATCTCACCATTTATATTTTCTCAACACTTATGATACTGTTATCACACTCTTAAAATAATTTAAAAAAAAAAAAAAAACTTGTATCATGATCCATACCAGGCTTATGTTCTATTCCTGGGGTAGGTTTCTTTCCCTGCGAAAAAGAGGGAATAATTATGCCCAAGATCAGGATGGCTCAGTCCTTGAGCTCTACCACTGGGAGGAGAAAAGGTGTCCAAGTAACCTTGGACAGGGAAGGGGGATTTGGGAGTCAGTGGAAGACAGACAGGGAAAACAGTTCTGCTACAGTGTAAATAAGGACAAAATTTTAAATATGTTTGTGAAATGTCCACAAAATCATTAAAATAACAAAACTTCATCAGCAGCATTTTACGGTGAAGTTGTTATGCTTTTAATTTTGTATTAAATTGTGATTTATTAGCTTGTTACTTTGAAGATTACTCAGTATGCACAGAATAGATTACTGGCGTATTTAATGAGCCAGAGGAAGAAGTAGGATGAACATGAAAAGATTGCTTTACATAGTAGAGTACAAGCTATTTGATATTTCTAACACAGTACAAAAGAAAGCTTCTCTGTAGATTGATCATGGTTCAGTTAACATCACTGAAT